TATAAATTGCAATTCGTATAAAATAACAACAAAGGGCATATTTTATTCRATTTCATTTGATAGTTCACGTAGTACTCTTCAAATGTTGGGAAACTGAAAAGTGTACTACCTGAAATTAAGATTCCACATTCAAACAAATTTCGTGTATTTGCAACTAAATCTGGAGACTTGTAAACAAAATGACGTCACAACTTGTGCTAAATTTTCTTGAATTTCTAGAGAAATACGTTTTTGAAACAAATTTAACTGTGTTATTCTTATTAATGACAATAAAATACACATTTTTAACATTAAATTTTTTTTGTGTCATATGCACTTTAACCGTGCTATTTAATCCTTCATTTGATTGAAAATGGAATAATTTGTAATTTTGCTGATCTCCTAAATTCAATTGCAATACTGTACTTGTCAGTAGCCTTCGTAACATCTGATTATTTGACATCAAGGTTTGTTACTGTTGTTTTGTCTGATGCAGTTTATATGTTTTATGATTTCTCTTTTCCTTCATTACATATCTTGATACCACTACCGCTAGAATCCTTTGCATGATTAAATTCCCTTATTTAGCCAAATTAACTAGATTATCTTGTGTGAAGGAGATTATCATGGTAGTGGTATTAAAATGTAACTAAGAAAATTGAGAATCCAGATATCTTGAACAGGAGTGAACAGTATTTGGAATAGATAAATGATCAAAAATGGCCTCTAAATCRCATTTTCAATTTGAGCAAAATTGCTCCAAAACTGTAAGTTATCCCAATTTTCATTGAATTTCATGGATCTACAACTAAATTTTATGTCAGTTCTCAGCTTTTTAAAATGTGGAGAAAAAATCATACTCCTCAATTTCTAGGGAAWAAATCAAAGATTCCTTAACACTAATTATTGTTTGGGATACATGTAGCTAAAGATGTTGGCAGGTGATTTGCTTCTCTCAGCCAGAACAAAAATGAAATGAAATTTTCATTGTTGGTAGAAAATGTTTCACTTTGTCAAGAGATATATAAAAAAATACATGAAATTTTTGCTGTCACAAACAATGTGCTGTGTGCCTCGATTCCAAATTACCTGGTTGGTTTGAACATTTATGAATAGTTAAATATTTAGGGAAAGAAATTGTCACTGTGATGGTCCTTCAAAGGTAAGTCCAGACAAGGTTGATGACTAATACTGTATTCAAGATACTGTAAGGTTAGGTGTCAGACTTGTATCTACATTGTAATATCRAGAAAAACCTACCAGAATAATGAGAAGTCTAGCTAGAACCTTAATTTTTGATTTTTTGATTTGTTTTACATTGATATAAGTGACATGTTTTTTGTTAGGATACATTAAGTTTCCTAATCATCTTATCCTATTCTACTTTCTCACATAGTACTGTAGTTTAAGTGATTTCGAAGTACCATGTAGAAGTTACTAAGATCTGATTATTTTTCACATTTTCAAAATTTAAAAGATTAATGACTAGTAGTTAGCCCTGGATGGTATAAGGAATGTCATAGGAAAAACAGAAAAGTTATGATTTATCATTTACAACTTCTATAGGTGTTTTGATAAAATCGATGGCTGATAATATCCAATTTATTTGAAAAAAAATGAAGGAAATGGCATTGAAAGTACTGTAGGAAAATATGGTTATTTCATAAGCATGGATTTTTTGAGAAGTAAATGTACATGTAGCTCTTATTAACCAACTGCAATGTCCATGTCGTAAGTTATGGACCAAGTTTTTCCTACTGCCTCATGGCCAGAGTTTAGTGTAGAGGCCTTGAAAAAGTGGGGAAAACAAGGTTCCATAACTTACGTATCTATTAGACAGAGCAATGGAGGTTAATAAAATCATTTATACATGTAGCCTAATATTATAACATTAGAAGCTATACAGCTGTAGTCAAATTCTTGTGGACAATATGTAGCAAACTAATCTTTTTATCGAAGCCATAGTTTTTCAGCAGAATTAGATTCAAAGAAAGTGAGACTTTTTCTTGTAATTTAAGAGCACAAGCCAATTCTAAAAGCTTCTGGTAAATTATAGGTATTTACCAGTTTAAATATATTTTATAATTTTTATTTTAGATTATTTAAATATATCTTTTCACAATTGACAATGTAAAAAGAAGCAAAATTTAGTAATGTTTTAAACCTTAGATCGAATTYACACAGTAACTGTCTAAAATCAACCTGGGAATCAAACTAACTGACAAGCAGATTAATGATGTTAAGACTTGATTTTGTTTTGAATTTTTAAAGGATTATGAAGGGCAATAAAAAGTTACATACAGGAGTAATCGGTTTTTGAGCGGAAAATGTTAGATTTAGTAACACAAATATAAATGCATAGAAGATAAATGAAGCAATTATATTTATAGAATATGAAAATAAATCTTCAAATATTATTGATACTCTGGCATAGCATCGGTGCTAATCAAAGTTAGGACACAGCTAATTCATCATACAGTTTAAATAATTATGAGTTAAACATCAATGAAGAGAAGAAACAAATTCCCATTGCTTGTAAGAGATTTTATGTATGTATATATTTTCAATGTGAAGTAAGCCATGAGTCACAGATGAGCTATTGGARTTTATACAGATTGGATAGTCATAGAATCCCATTTAAAAGCACTTGGCTTTTCATAAGGCTTTTTTCAATTGGCTTATGACCAGGCGACTTATTTCCAGGGGGACTTATTAACATCAAAAGAAAATATTTAATTGTGTTTATTCAATTTAACAATGGTGTTCATGTAGCAATACGGTAGCTGTAAAAGCTTAGAAATGCAAATGGACAACATGTACAGTTGTCTGAAAAATATTTTTGACATAAAAAGAAATATATAAAATGATTGGCCCACATTCTCCAAGGTAACACACACTTTGAAGTATGTTTAACTTTTACAGTAATTTGTCATTTGAATTCAGATCCACTTCTTCCACCATTATTGTCTCATCACTTTAAAGAAGCTATAATGCTTTAATAATCACATTGCTTTTAAATTAAAGAAAATAATCCATGACATTATTTGATTTTTGATGCTTACGAGGGGGRAAAAAAGATAAAATGCATTGTAGGCATGGCTAAATATAAAATCAGCAGTTCTTTGAAATTTCGCTTAGATGCACTTTGCCGTACTTGAAGTGGTGATTAGTGATGACAAGATTATGATGACCAGCTTATRATTTTCTTTTCCCAAAAACTTTTTGAAAGTATTATGTGACATCATTAGTTTTAAAATCTTGAAATCTGGATATTTGTCTTAATAATAAGTTTGGAAATTTCATAGTGATTTATAAAAAATGACTTTTTTAAAGACAGAATACCAATTGTTTTCCCATGAGATCCAAGRAAAACAGTTGCAGATATGTTTTTGCTCAATGTTTCATCCTGGAAAACTTAGGGTGAACTGTTCTTCCTAATTGATGCAAAAATGAAAGAGAATAATGGATGACATYGCAGTGACAAAGCTGTATACCTGTAGCTATGATTTATGCTATTTTTATAGGGTCTTAGTTGTAGAATCTCCTTTTTATTTATTTTTTTGTTTTTGTTTGGCTTTTTAGAAATTTAAGATTTTTTGTTATTTACTGTDTTTTATGTTCAATCAAGACCTTTCCAGTCATGAATGAATAAATTTTGGGTGAAATTTTAATCCATTTTGATCCAGCTTTTTCTTCAAATTGTCTTTGTAAGCAAGTTGCATTGGCATGTGTTTAGACAACAATTAAAAGAGTTTCAAGCCATGAAGGAGTTAAGTAAGAGTAATGTCCTGTACAAGATAGGTAAGATAATCAAGAATCTGTATTTAAAGCACTGTCGATAATTAATAAGGTGTCAATACTATACTCATTTGCAAGTCAAATGTGCTTACAGTGTGTGAGCAATCTATTTTTTATATGATTATTTCAAGTTAATAATGCTTGATGACTCTTAGATCAAGTTAGAAGTGCTTGATAACTCTTAGAGTTTTTAAGGGTTATACTATGTACAGCTATTACAAAAAATGTTGAAGGTACGAATGGTGATAGGTAATAAGTAATAGGCAATTAAGTGATATAAGATAGTTCATTCGAAGATCCAATAATTGCTGGAATGACTGGTGTTTGTTATTATTTTTCTGGTCAATAACACAGGTTATTGTTGAGATATAAAGTGTTGTTTGTAGTCCACGAAACCATTTAAAACACCTTGATTATTTGTGTTAAGCTAAATGCCCAAAGTTCGTTTTGGTTTTGAATTGCCTATCGCTATTTGCATTTCACTGCAGGGCTTAAAATAATGGTGTGTAAGTTGTTATTGCTGACAGGCCAAATTTGTTTTAGCTTGGCCATACCTCGTTTCTAGTGTAACATTACTGGTCAAAATGACCGGCAAGGCAAAGATTTGACACTACAAGTTTCCAATTCTGGGCAAACATTGTCCAATGTCCAGCCTTTATTTTAAGCCTTGCATCCATTTCACCTTTGAAATAAAAAGCTGTAACTAATGGAATAGGTCAATCAACTAGGTACAAAGGTAGAAAAAATAATTGTGGAATTTGTTTGACATTAGCTAAATGACTTTGAATTGGAATATCTTTTGGAAACTGAATGCATGCTTTCTGTGAAGCGATCTTATACCTGTAGCTCAAGAATTCTTAAAGAGAAGTTCAGTGCTACAACGATTTTCTAATGGCTTTGTGTGGCTTTCTTGTTAGAAATCAATTGAAAACATCCAATCTTTAGGACAGRGATGTCAAATCCCCCAAGATCTGAGGCACTTGATTACATTTTCAATCACATTCTCAGATATAATTAAGTACATGGAAGTAGATAAATATATAGGGGTCACTGGACCTATTATGACATTGCAATGTTGCAACTTACAGAATTATTATTATAAGAATTGCAATTAATAAAGTCTAAAATAGCTGAGTAACAATTGATATGCAATAATCGATTCAGGAATGGGTTACTGTAGCATCAATGAATAATATTTAAGAGACCTTTAGGATTTCACATACTATTAATAAGATATTTTTATTATTTAAGACTCTTACAATTAAACAAATCTAAATTCTTTTAGGGCACATCAGACTTGTAAGGGGTTTTTCCATGTAAAAGAAGAAATTCTCCCTTTTGTTTGGTGGAAATTAAAATATAAAGTTTACAAAAAATTAAAGAAAAGTGATAATTTTAAACTCAAAGTAATTATAACTTATGAACTTGAGGGTTAGGCTTCATGAATTTGCAACGTCCTCTGTGATTGGTTAGGTKTAGGGGCAGGCTTGTGGAAAGGTSATTGTTTTCTATTGTTCTACACATGTGTGCCCTCCAATAGGATCACATCTTGCAAAGTCGTGAAGGATGACCCGAACTTGAAAAACTAAATCTACATATAAAGATTGACCTGCTGCAAAGTGAACCCCTAAAATCAGGAATTAATATTCCAATATTACTATATTTTAGTGGAGTGATAGCATTTAACCTGTGCAATGAAATCTGATTCCTGGAATGTCTAATAATTGATACAAAAAATGCAAGAAAACAGTGGAATCAGATACTACTAAAGTGTATTAGTCAAATCCAACTAATGGTCTATCATAAMTATGATGTTCTGATTGGATGAGCTACTAATAGGCTATGAGTTATATCCTACTAGTAGTGAAAAGTGCCGGCTTTGAAAACCAAAACATAAAATTTAACTTTAATTCAAAACTGGTTGTCATCTATATATTTAAGCAACTGGTTGGATTTGACTAAAACATTTAGTCCTCTCGATGAGTCAATAGCCCATTCAGGCTCAAGGACTTATTGACAATTAGACTAATATCTATTTTGTGGGTTAGTTGCCATCACTCTATAATTTGTCTTCTAAAATTTATATCTCAAAGCAGTTTGGATTTTTAATTCCTGAATTTGATATTTGTTTTGGATGCTAGGTTAATAATAAATTAAATATGCTGCAGTCCTAACTGTTGATGATAGTTACCATGAAATTACTTGATAGCCTTCAAGAAATATATCTTTATAAAAAAAGACAATAAAAAACAATTAACAAAATATAACACTTATGAATTCAATTGAACAAAAACATTTGAAATTATTTAGTTCAATGAAAATAAACATGTAGTTGCATTTCAAAAAAATATTTGCTTAATATGATCTTTAAAATCCCACCATCAATATTTCTCTAGATGACCATACTTGTGTACTATAGAATATTTCTATTAAGACATGTGATGATGGACTGAACTGCAGAACAGATCTGAAACAAGAAAAAAGATTTGTCATATGAATGAACTGTTCAGTAAGATACTTCAAGCAGATTACTATAACGCATCAATTGGAGTATTACCATCTTATGAGTCCCAAAGAAGATTTACTAGAGTTGTACAGTAATATACTTCAAGCAGATTACTATGAAACATCATTTGGAGTATTGCCATCTTATGAGTCCCAAAGAAGATTTACTAGAGTAAGAACATTGTATTATATGGGGAATGATGAATTTCCAACAATGAAAAATATAAAAATGAACATGAAGATATGGACTATAGTCAGATCAATGCTACTGTAGATAGACACTGTGTAAGAAAATGACTCAGCCATCAGAAGAATAACRGAGAATGCATTCGGCTGTTTTTTGTTGGGAAAATCAGAGAAGATAAGATCTAAATGCTATGAGAGACAGTACAAGWAAATGGAACTTGGAAAATTATGGAACTGTGATAATGGTTTCAACTACATATTGATTAAAGAAAAATAGACTGTCATCAAATACTGTTGAACATTCAAGAGTGTGTAGTATACTAACATGATCTCTACAACTCACATCAGCTGAGAGAATTATATGGAAATTAAAACTCAACCAGTCAAAAATGTGGCTTTGTTAGTGCAAGAAGTAAACTCATTCAACATGAACTTTCTCTAGTATCACTTGAAGTAAACAGCTTCCTTTGGACCAGTGTTGTTTAAACCTTACGGAAACAGRTATTTCATGCATTATGAGACAGATTAATCAACCAGAAGAAATAAGAATTATTGTTAAGAATGGGAAGAAGAGGACCTCAATCAACAGTCCATCTTCAATTGGATGCCACAAGGAAGATTGAGATGGATGGCTAAAGATGAGTAAGTTGTGAAGTAAAACAACACAGAATAATTACATGGGTCTTGGGACAACTATAGTGGTCACATTGCATAATGGATAGAGCCAGATGACATCACTTCATTACTTCGTCTGTGGTGGCCAGAGCTCATCACACAGAGTTACATGTTTTCTTCAAAAATCAGAGAGATTCTCTGCAATTAGACTACAATTTTTCATTAAAGTTTAAAGTCAAGAAAAAGATAATAATTATTCTGCCATAAATCATGATACTAGCTGGTAGTGGTAGTGCCAGTAACAACCTTTGGTTTTTAGGGATGAACGCGAGCTAGAGTAGCCAACCCCTGGGGAGTGCCCAATTAACCAGTTAAAGGTTTGCTACTGTTACTATTAGTTACCATGTCAAAAGGTCATGAAAATAATTTACCARTGGTGTTCTTACCAAAAGAATTTTATTGCAGTTAAGTGAAGAGGCATTCAGTAAATCCTTTTTCCATCAAACCGAAAAGTTGAATGAAAGACTTTGATTGCCAGCACCATATTTTTGTCAGTTACCAATGAAGCTAAACCTTGGAGACATGGAGAGGAGACATAAGAAGAGATTCATAACAAACCAAGTTTAAGGACACATTAGCATTTGAATGCACTTCTTAACTACCAGTGAAGGAAACAGAAAACGATGATGTAAAGTCAAGGAAATCTACACCTGTTTCCTACATTTTGGATAGTACATTTTGGGAAAATAGAAAAAGTTGGGCACAAAGCAAGCAATCAACTACATTATGGAAATTCTACAGGTGAAAAGGCTGTTAAATTTTGGGAAAATATAAAACGTTGGGCATAAAACTTGAATTTTACTCTTGAAGAAATAAACAGTTGCTAGCACATTTTGGAAAAAAAAAATGTTAGACATAAAGCAAGCAATCAACTCTTGAATAAATGAAACATTACCAAGCATTAACTACATCATGGAAATTCTACAAGTCAAAAAGCCAGTACATTTTGGGAAAAAAGAATATGTTGGAAGCACCACTGTGAGAAGAAAAAGATCAAGACTTTAAAATGTATTAGAATGAAATCACACAAACATTGAGAGTTTGCCACACTTTGCAAAATATGATCCWGATGAGTTATTTAAACTTTTAATCTTCAAGCCTGAAAGAAACCTGGAAAAGCGTTTGGGAAAATTGTTTCTTCATTGGGCATTAGATGATCAACAACATTATSAACAAAAACAGAAATGATAAGAATAAAAGAAAATGACTCTTGAAATACTACGATTAAGATCAAGTAATTGTCAGACGTTATGCTCTGAATATGCATTACAAGATACCACAATGTGAATTTGATCATTTTGAATGCAAGAAACAATTGCAATTCAACAGACACTCCAATTCAGTGAAATCAAATGACTCTGAAATGCGATGAATGGAGTAAAAAAAAAAAACATTCATAAGTACGCAATGAAGTATGGTCATTCTAGCCCCTTTACCACATTTAATTCTACCATTATAAATAGTTTTTAAAAAATCATTTTTTCTATATCATCCGATTTTTATTCTAATGTTATAAGTGGACAAAGTCAATAGTTTGATAACTTAGAGTCAACATTCAAATCTATATTTTCTTGCAATTGCAATTTGATAGAATTGTTGGTCTTGAGGTTGTGTCTTACTGGGAAATGTTCTTGACATTTGCCGTTTTGTAGAATCACATAATAACTGTTATTCCTTTGAAAATGTGTCTGTGTATCCGGGTTGGCTGGTTTGCGAGTCATTGGAACCACCTTACGATGCATTTGTAGTCTGTACAAGYACAGAGAGAGAAAGTATTATCGTTTTAACTTGCTTATTTAACCTTATCTCTGTGTTAACAAATTTTTCAGCTGATCAATATTAGTCCACTTATCACTATGATTAGCATAGAGTTTTGTGTACAAAAAAATGTACCTCCATTATTTCCTCCAATAATCAATTTTCCAATTTTTAATTCAATTTATCGATTGGGCTGCAAAGCCTGTTAGGCATTATGCCTTCCACCCAGGAGGGTAAATGCATTAGATTTTTCCTTTTATAGTCCATAAAAAAGAACATTCAGAACAGGCTATTTCATCCTGATTTTTACAGTTCAGAATATCAAGAACATTCAGAACAGGCTATTTCATCCTGAGTTTTACAGTTCAGAATATCAATAAGCCTAGTGTGCAGAGAGACTGTTATATTTTGTATTTGGAATATAATGATAAGCCACTAAGAATGTAAAGGCAGGAGATGCTTTTCTTATTGCAAATCCAAAGCGTAATTCTCAATAAGTTTCCCTGTAAGGTCATGAAGAACAAGCTTACCAAGTCAGTCTTCAATGCTGTCATTGTTCTTCCCAGTATATACTTGAAACTTGAAGACATTTGAAGTGTCACCCACACTTTGATCCCTCATTTAATTGGCTTTTGAGGCATAATTGCTTTAAGCCATGCCTGCCCTTGTATTTAATCATCRCTTCATCAACACTGGCACTACGAAAAGTATTGTATTCTTCTAAAAATGTCAGTGACAGCTTTTTGATCAGGGGATGAATCTTATAGAGCTTGTCATATTCAGGTTCACATTACTGCATCTTTTCTGTGTCATTTAGTTTTATACTATTAATACTTTCTCTGGAGCCCCAATCAGAGTATCAAAGGAGCAGTAGCTCTTCAATTCTGATAGCAATGTTATCTCAAGACATTTTATTCAAGATGTTGAGAGCAACAAAAGTTCATATTTCTTCCCTCTACTTGTCTCATTGCAATGTTGGTCTGGTTTGTTCTGGATGCTTGCTGAGCTTACAGATTGGTTTTATAGACCAATTTCTTGAAGAGCTCTACCGGGAATAGCAACAATAACAAATCTAGTGCTGTTCCAACTTCCAGTATCAGAAATATGTTGTGCCATTTTGGTCTTTAAAGATTCATAAACAACCAGAGATTCATCTTCTGACCAAGGGTTTCGGTCAGCTCTTTCTCTTTTACTTTCAACTCTACTTTCATTTTTGCATTYATAAGGGGCAGAAATATTGGATTCAATATTTGTTGAAAACGTTAGACCAGCCGTAAAGCAWTAAAATGTTTCGTTGTCACTTGCAGAATAAAGAAGTATCTCCAGACACTGAAAAACTTTCAAAACAAAACTAGGGAGTATTAGATTTGCAATGAACAAGTTGAAAGGACTWTTGTATTTGAAGTACCTCATTATGCATCAATTGATTGTTTAGGATGTTTCCTATAGGTTTCTTTACAATACAAGTCTAGTTGTGTTGAATTCTTTGAATTCTGGTTAAAGAGAGGGCAGCAAGAGAGAGTTATATTGGAAAGTTGTTCTGAATAGTAAATCCAACCWTATCGTTAAGAGTCAAACTCTTCTGCTCTAATTCCTTTAAACTGCCATTGTGTCTTTCTTGTCATATTACCAGTGTGGAGTGTATGGGGTTCTAGAAATCCTCATTGCCAAATAACCATCAGTGCCAAGAAGACTTTAGCAGATGAAAGAAGTTTATTTTCCAACTAACTAGCATGCACTGCATGCCAAAACACAAGGAACCCAATTTGTAAYAAGAATCTTTTGCTAAATCAGTAGTTATTACTGAAAATGCAAATTCAAGGGTTCTTTGAAAAAATGCACTGTTGATATGGTTGAAGAGCTTTACTTTTAGATGAATCTACTGGGATAAAGGCTATAACCAACCAACCTAAAATTTAATTTGTCAAATGTTAAACTAAGTAAACTAAAAATGTATTATTTTATATAATAATTAATATTAATTAATTATTATCTTTATGTCATTGTTAGGACATATAGTTTTATTTTCTCTGTATATGTAAACTCTAAACTTTGTATTGGACTCACTTCTATAGACCTCGGATCAGTTTTAGACACTGCTCTATCTAAAATCTTGGTTTTCATCTCATAACACAAAAAGCATGGATTCAGTTTTCAGACGTTTTTAAAATGTAGTTGTTAGAAAAGCATACACGTACTTGTAAGTTTTATTGGATGTTGCATCACTCCTAGCTTATATGAACCTGTGTTTGGCTTCAAATAATTAACATTTGCTATCCACTTGTACGGGGGATAGGTCCTGCATTGTTTTTAATGTCCTTTTTTGTTGCTAT